TTTGTTTTGAAAAAATACGTGTGTTTGTGTGTAATTAGTTATATTTGTGTGTGTGTGTATGTGTAAATGAAGCACACATACATACACATGCAAAATGTGTATCTCCTCCTTGCAGGGGTGTGAAATCCCCCCAGCAAACTCTGTCTGCTGCACAATCAAGTCAGCACAGTTCGTGCAGCCTGAGAGAAGCAAAGATGCTATGAGACTATAAACATTTTCTAAACAACATTGCAGACAGAAGGGTAACAAAGTACCCCTCTATCAAACAGCTTTATTTAGCTTACAAACCATCACTACATGCTAAGGCAGCCCTTCTGAGTGCACTGATGCTCCCTGGCCACAGCTCAGTTCAGCACCCCCGTTGCCCCCAGCAGAACTTACAACACTGCAGAGACCAAACAAGTGCTCAGCATGTGATGTCTGTGGTGCAGAGAGGTCTCAGCATCCCTGGAGCACATCTACCAAGTGCCCATCAGGATGGGGACATCCTGCAGTCAGTCTTCTCCACCTTCCCTTCTGTCTATTAGCCTTTTACAGAGTTTAGTCCTTGGTCAGTGGTTATTGCTTATTCATGTATGATGTCTGGTGGTAGCTTCCTTAGCACTTACCTCTAGTGCCTTGTTTCAACCCATCATGCCTGGTGTCAATGCTGGTGTTTCCACTTGATTGCTCTGGGTCCTATTTCAGTGGTTTTTCACAACATTTTATTTCAGGCTCTATGTCTTCACACCCATGCTTGTTGGACAGCTAAATATCCCTACTGAGTCATGACTGGCACCTCAGCAGAGGGCTAAGACAAATCTCCCTTCACTCCTGGCTGTCAGTCTTTCCTACAGACCCCTGTGACCCATTCCTAGTGACTGCTTGTAGTCACACTGATGACTGATTTATTAAGCAGCATAAAATTAGCTGATTGCACGGGTTGGAGCTGTTGCTAAGACTATTAAATTATGGAAGCAAACTTGTGGCACCTTGGCAGCGCTCTGGAAGCTGCCAAAAGAACATTGCTGCATTGCTCAGAACCAGTTTGGGGCTCCACAGGCAGAGGAGAGTGATGCTTATAGAAATTTGCCAGGTCTCCCTGAGTAGCCCAGTAATGCCACAGTGTTGATGTGATGTACCCATGTAGCTGTAACAGCACATGTAGTTTAGGTGGGCAGACAGTGACCAGGATCAAGAAGACCCACACATTTTCTCAAGGGGAGCTCTGTGCCTTCAGTTTCCACCAGTCTTCTATTATCACCCAGAGGCCTTTTGTCTCCTCCAGTGATGTAATCTACAGATACTGGGTGTTCCTACCGGAGTCTTATTGGTGAATTTGAATGTCTGCATGGGATAGTTTCCAATTCCCCAGGCTGAAGAGAATGCCCATGCTGGAGGCAGGAAGTTGGGATTCATCTTACTAATAGTGCTGGCATTCCTCCCAGTGAATCTCCAAAATATATCCTGGTGTTGCAGTAGAGGGTGAGCAGAGCAGAGATCTCCAGCTCCATTAGACACTAGGAACACTTCTTGCACAGTTCATGTTAGAGCCTTAGTGAGATTAGCAGGATCAGTCATGCTGCCAATGACCCCATTTTCTGGGCACAGCTAGTCTGTGTGTGTAGGTAGGACTTCTCTAGCTGGATATGGTGTTGGTTTGATTATTTGATCTACTTTTTGCCCTGCTGCTCCCACCTTCTGATTGAAGTCAACTGGGTTGACAGTGCGTGTCTGCATCACTGGCGTTGAATGGGGCTCTTTAGTGGTGTTTAGTTTCCTCAACCTGAAATATCACAGGCCACACGCAGCGCAGAAGGCTCTCAGTGGCATTACCTCCCTTGGTGCAGCTGGGGCAGAGATCACATGAACCAGGACAGACCTCAGCATGTGTTTTTAGCAGGAACACAGTCCACCACATGGGCCTGTCCTCCTCCTATCTACTACCCTGCAGGATATAGCTGGCAGAACAGTGCTTGAACCCTGTGGCTGTCTAACTGGTATTTAGCCAAAGTACATTCCTGCCTGTAGCACTCTCACAGGGATAGATGGTATTTTTGCCACTCAGTTGCAAGCCATTTAAAAGTCACGTGCCCAGTTGGATTATCTCTTTAGTTAAACCACAGTTTTGTTTCTCCCTTGGTAGGAGAGGGACACTTATACCTCTCACTGCACTGGCAGTGTGCCAAGCTTGAGATAAGTATAAGGCTGCAGGTTGCAAACAATAATTTCTACATATAGGTTGGCTTTCCCTGTAACTGTCTCCTGCCCCCTTCCTGATGGTTGATCTCTGCATTAATTTTGTTAAGCCCTCGTACATTTCCCTACGATTGTGTTTCACTCTCCATAGCCAAGGTCTCTTTGCATTATACTATTTGTACAAAGGTTGGGCTAGGAATACATGAAAGATTATGGAAATACTCATGGAAATATGGAAATATCCTTATACTCTTATGGAAATGTGGAAAGAGAGTGGGCTGGGGTAGTCACAGTAGTAAGAGAGGAGGGCAGCTGAAGGTCAGAGTGGAGAAGGGCACTTCTAGAGACATCTCCTCAGGACTACATCATTCTCATACTTGGTTATAGACTAAGAAACCTAGTTTCTTAAGAAGTCTCTTCTCCTACTAGAAACCTACTAGGAAATTTAGAAACTACTCAAGCCCGAGCAACAAGTGCCTTCTGCCAGCTACTCTCCATCTGTATCTGTGTCAGGTCCAAGTTTGTACTTCAGCAATGGGGGTTATGCGAGCTCCATGTGGGTCATCTTTTTTAACTGAGTCTAGAAAGATGTCTAGCCCTTATTGCTTTGAAGGAACATAGCCTGCCTATTACCTGGACCTGGCTCTTGCTTGGTAGGGCAGTACTTGTACAGAGTAGGCAGACCAGCCTGTTCTGCAAAGGAGCTGGTTGGTGCATCCATTGGACACATCTATCCAAGCAACCCCCTCCAGCAGTGTGGCTCACAGTGGGTATTTTGGTAGCTGCTACAGAGATAGAGGAATGCAAGAAAGATGTACTTACCACTGGTGTCACAGGAATATGGGGCAGGGTCCTGCCTTGCTCAGGTTCCACGTAGCTGTATGGAGAGCAGCCATCCCTTCTTCATGTCTTTGAACATGAACACTGGTCTCTGGGATTGTTGTTTTTAGCATGGGTATCTATCTGTAAAACAAAATGGAATTCACTGTTTTCAATTCCAAGCTCTACAGTTGCACCTTGTTTGCCTTGCATCACCCTCATTACATAGAGGTACAAGATTTCCAGCCCCCGTTACTCTTTTACCAGTCTAAGCTGTTTTGCTGGATCCATCCATCAAAAAACATATACCTGTGATCCACCACTATTTTGTCTTGGAGGAAGGCCTCTAGGATGTGGTTGCTTCAGGCAGCAGTCCCTATTCCTGCTTATGTGCAGATGCTCTCTGTTTCAGCAGGTTTTTGCACCGACAGAATTAGGATTCTGCTGCCTCCCACCTCCCCTGTTCAGTGCTTCCACTGAAGATATGAGGGTGCACTTTTGCTAGGTAGTGGGGGGCAGCCTCATGCCTTCCTGTCTCCTATTAACAGAGCCCATGACACCCTATTTGAGCTAAGTACTTGTGCTACCTGGTCACCCCTTGGGATTCCTGTCTCACCGTGCTCATTAGGGAAATGTGGTGCTGAGCCTTTGCCATTCCTATCTCAGCATCTCACTGAGTGGGACCCTTTGTGGAGGTACCAACCCCTGAGCAGGTGCACTGCACTGGATATTGCTTCTCCCAGTGTTTGCTGTTCCTGCAGTATTTGTAGGAGTATTGGAGATGGACTTCCCATATTGAACCAGGCTGGTGTAACACTGGTCTGTTACATGTCGGGTTTCAGGAGTTAAGTACAGAAAGGAACATTCTCTTAGGACTTACTGGAAAGGAAGAAATCTTAACTTTTGGCACAATAAATATGAAAAAAATCTCAATGTTGCAATATAGTTTATATGTTTAAGATACAGTCATTAATAATGTGGTGTAAGGGCATCCACACACAGGCTGACAGCCTGACCTTCCATTAGTTCTCTGTATTTACTAAAGCAGGTAATTTTGAGAAATTTAGTCCATGGGAAGACTAAGGATCTCAAAATGCAATTTTTTTCACAAATCATGATGAAATGGCAAAATTTGGGACTGTTTCAGAACAAATTTAATTTCACCCTTCTTGAAGATGTGCATTCTGTTAGTATCAAAACATTTCATTGACTTCATCATATAATTTACTTGAATAATTAATCAGTGCTATATCAAGTGATAAATTAAATAGATTAAAAATTAAATTTTCATCAAAGGAAAATGTAACAATAATATTTCCCTAGAAAATTAACATAATACTTCTATTCTGACCTATTTCTACTCAGTGTGATCAGCATCTTATGATACAAAACACTTACTTGAGTAATTTTTCAAAAGCTATGAAAAAAATTATCCCCTAGAAGCAGTAAAAATCCAGGCATTCATCCAGGAATAATATCTCAGCCTGGTACCCCAGGAAATCCTCCTTCTGTCATGCCTAAAACCTTATTGACACATGGCTTTGGCAATACTAACTGCTGCTGGTGTGAAAAGAAAATCATTAACTATAATCACAAAATTGCTTTAAAGAAACCTCTTCTTGCTGCTGCTTTGCTGGGAAGAGTCTGTATAACCTCTTTACAGTGGCTTCATCTACCTCTTAACTAATATTTGTACCATGACATGTTTTTTCCTTCCCTCTATTTCCACAGGGCTCATTCAATATTAAAAGGTGTGCTGAAACGCTACCAAGCATCAACAGACACACACAGAAATACAAATACGTCTCATTTATTTTTACTCAAATAAGTTTCTGTGATGATCTAAACCATTCCAAATTCTCCTTGATTTCTGAGGGTCCTGGGCATGTGTTCTGAAATGATAGGCAGAAAAGCTTGCACGTGCATAATATTTTTGAGCTGTGAATGGACAAACTTCATGATAACTGATGTGTGACAAAGCATTTTCTGTCTTTCCCAAACAGCTAATATGCCAGAAGATTATCCAGATCAATTTGATGAGGTAGTGGACTTTATTCAAGCCACTATTAAAAGACTGAGGAGGTCACCAGACAAACAGACTCCGATTTTTTCTAGGCGGGAGAGAAATCGTCAAAATGCAGCCACAAACATAGAGAATTCCAACAAAAAAGGAAGGAGGAATCAAAAGGGAAGGAATCGAGGATGTGTCTTAACAGAAATACATTTAAATGTGACCGACTTGGATTTGGGATATGAAACCAAAGAAGAGCTAATTTTCCGGTATTGCAGTGGATCCTGTGATGCAGCTGAGACCACCTATGACAAAATTTTAAAAAACTTAACCAAAAAGAAAAAACTGGTCACTGACAAAGTGAGGCAAGCCTGTTGCAGACCCACAGCCTTTGATGATGACCTGTCCTTTTTGGATGATAACCTGGTTTACCACATACTGAAAAAACATTCCGCAAAAAGGTGTGGATGCGTCTGACAGCTGCATGCTGAGGCGGCACCAGTTTTCCATTCCTGCTACACTGCAAAGAGAGGGACCAAGGTTCCCAGGGAAGTGTCTGCTCCAAATGGAGGAAAAAGGACCAAGAACACAGAATGAGGAGCCAATGAGAGCCTGGGGATAAGGAGGAATGTGGCAGAGTAGAAGGATGGAGACTTCTGACGTCCTATGGGGATTTAGATATAAGCTCAGGTGGAGATGACGATGGATGGATGATGTGCACGCTACCTTTCCTGTTTGACTCAGTCCACCATCAGTGAGACTCAATCCATGAGGAACGTGCTTAAAAACACAACCCTGCCATACCACGCTGTGTTGTAGTTATGCCATGATATATCAGTTATACCAAGAAGCTTAGCTAAGAAGTAGCTTAGGAGTACCTTACTAATCCCCTGTGCCCTCAGCTCTACTGAAAGACACATTGTGCTACTGCTCATTGGAGGGCAGTTCCTGAGTGCTTAGGACAACTCCTAAGCTATAAGATTACCCTTGTAAGTAAGATGATATTGGGCAAATATCAAAATGACCGGGCTCAAGTTCTTATGAAGCAAAACAGTTCCGCTTACTGGCTAAGTTTGGTTATTTCCATCTTGTGTTTCTTCAAAATGAGTGCAGGATTTTGTTCTTCTGCTACCTGTGAAAATAAGTTGAGTTTTTAAGCACTTCTTCCTAGTTTAGTAAGAGAAATAACAAGCCCAGCCTACACAAAATGCGTTTATTTAGGTTTACAAAGGACTAATGTCACTTGCATAACTACATTTCTATTTGGTCATTGTGATTGAGAGAGACTACTTGATGCAATGCATCCCTTCAGAGACATAAGTATACAGAAGATATTTATTGAGATTAAGTTATTGTTATTTATTGCAGTTCAGTAATGAGTCTCCTTATTTATTAAAGTGTCTTTCAAAGGTGCCAAAGTAGATGGCGCTTGGGGATATAGAGAGACAAAGACGTTGGGAACAACGGTCCATGCTTTTGATTGAAAATGTTAACTTGAATGCAAAAAATCACTTACTTTACCTTTTTTTCTTTTAAACAAAATCTTGGTTATGTTCACAAAAGGTAGTGCTGAAGCCTGCAGCCCTTATTCCTGTCACTAAGCCTTCTGAAAATTACTACAGTCATACATGTGCAGGAGCAGCAATGGCCCTGGGTGAGTGAGGGTCGCAGGACTTGGCTCAACATTAGCAATTTGTAAGAAAAACTAATTTTAGTCATATCTTAAATGTAGCCACATTTTTTTTTTCTCACACTTTATGCCAACTGACCTCATATAACTATTGACAAATGGAAAATAATCACATTTAGCCTTATAATTTCTAGTTATATTTATTTAAGCTTTTCCTTCCGTACTTCCATATAGAAGAGGTTAAATCCCTCTTACTAGTTAGCCCTGGATTTAATGTAGCCTGCAAGTAAACAGTTGTGTTAAATAACCAGAGTGTTTTGTATAATTTGCTGAAACATTACAGGATCATACCCATGCAGCAGAACAGTCCGAGTTAGGAGGAGGGAGGTTGTACAGCAAAGGTGTTTGTACGTGACCGCTAACACAAGCTCTCATTCTGGAGACATTTTTCCCAAAGGAGCAGGAGTGCAGGTCACTAGACATACCTGACAACCAGTGAAGCATCAACTCCCACAAAAGCAACATGAAAAAAAAAATCCTTATTGAAAACCATGGTCCAACCTTTTATCTCATGCATGTAATGGCTCTCCATACTCATTTTGCCCTGGGCCCCTTGGGACACCACTGAAGAAGGGTCTAGAGGTCAAAAAAGTCCAGAACAGGCATAGAAAGATGTACCAGGTGTATGGCGTGTAATAAATCCCCAACTTTGGCCGGTTTTCTGGCGAAGGAGGGGGATAGCCCTGGAGAACCACCAGCAGGGTCTGTTCTCACACTGCCACCACGGGGACGCCGTGCCCTCCATGCTGCTCAGGGGTGGTGACACCCCACTGGCACGATGTGGGCACTGAGCACCTGCCAGGCGGAGGGCCAGCTGCGCTGCCGGGCAGCTGATTGGCGACAGCGCACAGAGCTGTGCTTTCCCTTGCCCCTGCTGATGAAAACTTGCCTCAGAGCATTTTCTGTGCAGCTTGAAGAGGCTGCAACCAAAGCAAATCTCTATGTTCAAAATACAAAAGGGTAAAGTTTGTGATTTTTTTTTTTTTAGGTTTTTTTTTTTTTGTTTTTAGTTTTTAGACCTTACTGAAGACAGGAGAGTGCTTCTCTGGATTTTTTTACTTCACCTGCAATTTTATGTCTCAGTCATTTGTGTTAATCAACCAAAGTTCTCTACAGACTTTATTTTTGTACAATATTCATTTTATAACTTTTTACAAAATAAAATTCATTTCTATTGTTACGTGGTTGTTGTTTGTGCTTCCCCATCATACAGTTTCCAAGTTATGGTGTTGCCCAGTTTCCCAATTTGCATGAGACAATGCCGTGGGGCCAGCAAATCCTCCATGGAGCAGAGCCTTCCTCTCCTATCTCACCAACATCTTTAATGTGGATCAGAGGTGTCTGTAGCTTCTTAGTGAAATATAACTGCAATGAGTCACTGCAATGCTCAACGGAGTCACTGCAATAATTGACTTGAAAATGCATGGTGGACAGTGACAGTAATCCACCCGGGGGCAGACTTCAAGCCTGGGGTTACTGAAGCTGTCCCTTGTCCCTGTGGGGCTGCACTGTCTTCATGGTGGCCTTGGCCATGTATGGCCACAATTCCTGCACTCAGAAGAGATTGCATTTTGCTTTGCTAATCCAGGTGTCACATCAGTGGACTAAATTCCACCTACTTTGGCAGTTCTTTTCCTTCATCTTAAAACAGGAAAATAAAACTCAAGGAATTCTTTTTGCACCACCATTATGGAACAGATGAGGACAGGCTTTGTGGCTGTGGCCAGCAACATTTTCTCAATGGTTTCATGTTAAGCTTTGCAGCTCCCATCACAGAGCCCATGAACACACGCAGACTCACAGGTTTCAACACTGCACTTTGTACTGCTACAGAGAGGAGGAGGGAACATCTGAGCAGCTAGCCAGAGTGCAGGAGATCAAACACTCTTAATGCACAGCGTATGGATGCCTTGGTTTCATTTGTGCTGGCAGGGACCATGCACACAGCTCTACCCCAGATGCTGGAACAGACAGCAAAACTCAACACAAGCCCAGCTTTTGAAGCACACAATATCGAAGGCATTCCTCCTCACTTGCCACTGCCTCCTCTTCTTGCAGCAGAAGCCCATCCATCATGTGCAAAAGAAGAAAAAAGCTGGACATATTAAGTGTTTGGCATGGAAATGACCTGCAGTTCCACATTCAGAGGAGACTGTGCACTTTCCCAAGAGTTGGAGGGTGTGTCTATGGAAAACACAGCTGTGAGGCGCTCTGAAGTTTAATCTCTGTTCTTACAGCCCTTCTGTCTGCTGTCTGCAAGGGATGGGGAAGCAGAAGGTCAATGCAGATGCCTTCCTTGGTCTTATCAGGCTTTGAGTGGGCCATGAAGCAGCTGGTAGGAGCAGTGTTGCTTGCATGGAGATGTTTCACCCTTCTTCCCCAACCCTCCCAGTGACAACAATACTGGAGAGAGCAGATGAGGCTCTGCTACTGCAACTCCAGGCTTACCAACGCTGGGCTGGCACCTGCAGGTTCCTTTTCTGGTTGAAGTGAGGCTTGCAGTAATTTCCTGGCGCCCTGTATGTATTAAAGCAGTTTGAAACCTTCAGTTGGCAGGTTGTGTAAAAGATTTCAGAAAAAGGATTTAGATTTTCATTTGTTACTAGGAAGTGCCAGGACTGGGCTAGACATTATGTTGCTGCTTGAGCAGCAGGCATAGCACTACCCTGGATCCCTTCTGGAAGTTAAGACATGTCCCAAGATAGATAAATTTTTTTAAAAGGGAGAGGATGAGTCAAACACTATAACTATTTACAATTACTCAAAATCAGGATGTTAAAAGCTTTATTGCCCAACATCTTAATATGTCTCTTTTTTTCTTTTTCAATTTTTTGTTGGATTTTCTTGGATCAGTTAGCACTATGCTGCCAAACAATAATGACTGGTTAGAGACTTAGGACAAACTATGAACGCCTAAGGAAAAAGCAGGTATTTTGCAAGGAGGGCTTATTTACTGATGCAGCTTGGAAGTCTGTCCCTCGGTGAGACTCCTCCAGCAGAAGGGACTGCAGCCATGTGCTTCCCACAGGCAGGACATCGGGAGAGAAACCATCATAACAGCAGGTCCTTCTGCTATCTCTCCACCCCACAGCAGCCTGGTGCTGCTGCTCTCAGTACAAAGAGGATGAAGTAGGCAGAACTGTGTCGGATTTGGGATTGTTTCACCTCTGCCCACAAAAGTGGAGAAAGGACAAAGGCAGCCAGTGTCTCAGTCTGGAGAAGTACAGGAGGAAACCAGAAGCAACCTCACTTGTTGCAATCTGGATGGCTAACTAAAAATACAGAGGAAAATATCAGGATGAAGAAAACAAATGGAGCTGACACATTGTATAAATAGGTCTTCAAATGTCACGCATGGCTGGAACAAAGATGTTTTGTTCCAAAGCAAGAGACAGCTTGAAATGGCTCGTAATACACATTGAGAAGTTTGCTTTTTTGGAACAGAGCTCTTCTAATGAAAAGGTTAATTGTGTTGCAATGGAAAATAAAAAAGGCAAAGCAGAGGCCAGTCCTGCACTCCTCACCCTAACAAATTTCCCACTGGCTCTAAGTGAAGATTTTCTATCACAAACATCACAGGACTGAACTACTAACATTCCAATAAATTACACGGTAGGTATATTCATGGGTCAGTAAGATTAGCTAAATAAACCATATATTCCAGCAGCATAAATCCCACTGGCTTTCAGACAAGTTGTAGCAGCAGCCAATGAGGGAAACATGGTGCTCAGGTCAGCCTGATGCAGGAAAGCTTCCTTTGTCAGGCACCGAGCTCCAGACTTGAGGTCAAC